CCTGCCAGCCAGGAGGTCGCGGTCCCGCCTGCCTGCCCCTCTCGGGTGGCTAGCTGGGTTTTCCAGGGGAGATGCTTTGGGGGAAGCTGAAAGTTCAGTTGCGGAGTATTTCAGCATCCCGCCTTCGCGCCCTGCCCTCAGTTTTTACCACTCTTTTGCCTACCTGTATCAGAAATGTTGCTCCAGACACGTAGAATGAAAAGCCATTAGCCACCTTCATATCATCATCAGAAGCCTGCTTCAGTGGGAACTTACTTTTAAGGTCCCAAAAACATAACACATGGGAAATTACTAACCCTGTCAGGTAATTTTTCAGTACCTTGAGATGATGCTAGGTCCTTTGCAACAGATAATTGATTCACTTCGGTGCAAAAAGTAAGCCATTGACTCATGGAACAGCTTACTGATTAGTATTGCAAGTGCACGCTTTTCTTCCTGCAAAATGGCAGTTGATAACCAAGTGTAACACTCCCCTGTAAGGAAAGATACACAGAAAAGAAATATTTGCATTTGTTTACCTCCGCAGCTTAGGAAGTGAAAGCCGTACCCAGCTGAACTTTCCCATCTTTCTAGATGACATGCATACAGAGTGGAGAATGAGCCTACAGAAAAGTTGATTAATCAGAGTTTCTGTCTGGCATGCATACCAAACCACAGGGTTTTTTCCAGTCATTTCTGTAGCAAGCTTAATGGATGGCTGAAATGAAACAGCTTTCTTAGAAATATAGCCTGGCCTGATTTCGAGTGATGAGACACAAAGCTTTTTTCGTACCATTTCTGCCAAGAAATCTCACACTAAGGGTATTTAGCTGCTTTGAACATGGCAGCTCACTGGACACAACCTTATGTTTTCTTCTCAGGGTATCTTGTCCCCTGTGGGACATGGGGTGTCACACCGACTGTGGGCACCACCTCTGATTTTTCTAACTTCTGTGTGTTCAGAATTTTCAACAATATTTTATTTCATTCATACTCTTAATGGTAAGCCAGGAACCATATATATATAAAATATTTTGATATGTTATTTTGCTTTCTTGATTGATTTAGTATGATTCAGTTAAACCCAATTCATGATTATGCTCATGGCTATTTGAATATAGTATGTGCAAAACAGCAATCATGTTCAAATAGCTGTTACACATGATTTTTGACTGTGTAATCACAACCAAAATAAACAAACATGAAGGAATATCGGAATCACTGTATCCAGCTACATGATTTTGTGTTATCTGAACCACTGCTGAGGAGTTTGTCCTTGTGAGTCCTTGTAGCAAAATACATTTAGTCCTAGTTCAGTTTCACCTAGTTTCACCTAATCACGGAATTCATTTCACTACCAAGTTATTCTTCTAAGTAAGAAACCTGTGTATGCCCAGCAGCCTCGATGCTGCATCCATAAAGAAGAAGTCATAAGGAATTATGACTTCATGAAAAGGAGCTCTACAACCACTGAGAAATTTTCACCATTTTTAGTTTCACTGTCTTTAATTTCTTCATTTTGAATCCTCATTTTATAGGAAAAATGTTTGTTTCCCATTGAGAGGTTTTTTCTGCAGAGAAGGCATGCACATCGGTGGAATGGTCGGAAGGGTGGTTGACATTTAGGTGATGGAAAGTACTACTGACAGGCTTGCTGTGTTTTGTAGGATAAGAAGCAGCCTGGGCGGAGTATATGTGTCATAGGATATTTATAATGTCTCTTACAGGTATAAATATATAAGGGATACGGTTACTAAATACGTAACTATAACTGAAATGTATATCAATCAGGAATATTTTATTGATCTTGCCACACCTATCAGTTTGGTGCCATATCCTTTGAGCAGATGAATTTAAAAATCCAAAAGTGTATTTTAAATTTACATGGTTTTATTTCACAAAATTTTGAAGAAAATATATTTGCCGTTGTTTTCAGTGACTGTCTTTTCCTGGTTTTCCTCCTACTTTTCGTTTCTTCACAAGATCTTCAGCTTACTCTGACAATTTGACAAGAATCTGTCCCTTTTTGTTCTCCTTCTGTGCAGTGGTTTTCAACTTTACAATTTGTGAAAAATTTTTGAATAGAAGTTAAGCCTACTGAAAATAGGCTTGCTTTTCTTATTTATCTTTTGCGGAGCTCCTAGAAGCAGTCCCTGAGCTTTTAGAGTTCAGTAGATAAAAGGTTGGAAAATGATGCTCAACATCTTTGTCCAAGTTGACAACAGAGATTAAATTAACATACCGAAAACTAACTCCCCAAAATGCAACAACTTGCCTACTGTCTAACCTGATGTCTCCTCCTGTATGTCTAACCACCAGGTTAAGCTCAGAGATGTGAAAGAATGTTCTTAATTATTTTTGTTCCATTCATTTTGCCATCACTATGAGTAAGAGTTTTGCCCCATCTCTCATCCAGGACTGTAACCTGAATGTTGCCAGTGAAACAGCTATTTAATCGGTGCTGCTATTCAGGCTACCAGTAAATCTCTCAGGTAACACCTTTCTCCAGAACTTCTAAAAGGTACAGTATTCCCCATCCAACCACAAAGCTAAAACTCTCTTTATGCTCCTGTCACTTCCTAACAGTGTCACTTCTGGTGGCTTTGACAGATACAGTCTTGCTCTGCTCATATCCAACCAGAACTGCTGCTGAAAGAAATAATCCCCTTAACTCATCCCTTTGCCCATGTGACTCCCCACTTTGCATCTCTCCAGTGTCCCCCATCTCTACGCCGGCTCTGTATGCACTTTGCCTTCATTTTGAAATCCTTTATTCCTATCCTGTCTTGTTTTCACTTAGCTTTAATATGTTGCTTCTCGCTTCTGACTGACCGAGGATACTGGCTTCCGCTGTGCTTTTATTCATGTTTTTTTAACAAACCCTGTTGTGCTTTCCCCCATGTAACACTATTGCTCTCAAATCCATCCAAAAACACGAGTATGGCAGGATAGCTACTGTAACTTGAGGCCACTGGTGTGCTGAGCCTAATCTAATCACGCTTCTCCCGTATTTACCATTTCTGTCCGTTAGTTCATGTCATGTCTTGCAATTCAGTTGCAATCTCTTCAGCACAGGTACCTTCCTCTTGCTCTTTGCTTGGTTAATATTTAGCACCACTGCCCCTTAAGATCAGACGTGCTTAAAACCTCTGCAGCACAGCCCGTAGCAGAGCAACCCCAGACAACTGTCCTTACCCCTGCTCCCCGCGGGGGTAGAAGGGACGCGGAGCCCATCCTCTCTCCTTCCAGCCTTCCAGCTGAAAATCTCAACACGGTGTCAGTCATGATAGATGGTGCATTTTGTGACACAGACAGCCTGCCATTAGGACAAACTCATTTCAGTGAAGAGCCATCTGATGGTAATGACTTGCAGTCGCAGACTGACCTAGGCTGGCTCGAGTCAGTGTGCTGGAGGTGAAAGGCTCCGTATTCCATTACCAGTACTCTGAGCCATCAAGTCTGCTCCATCCCACCCCCACTTAATCTATATTGATAGACTTGGTAGCATTTTCCTAACTGCTATCATCCATACAGATGTCTGCCGTCATTTTGTTGATACAGTCAATCAATACTACATTAAATGTTACCTTCAGTTTACCCTTAATTGTCTAAAGTAGATGTGGTATTTTCATTATTTATACAACTATGCCATTAAATTATGCATTCCAGATTAAAAGAATAAAAGACTTGTTTACATTATTATTATTGCTCTGGCATTAACTTTTGGATTTCTGTGTAAATAAATTAATCTCCTATCGGAGGGGGAA